TGTGAGGGAAGGTCAGAGCCTTAATCAGATTTAAATCCCAGCCTGCTCAGGGCATTCAAAGTAACCTCTCTAGCACAGTGACTGGGCTTTAGCTCTACATTAGCAAAGGTGTTTTCTGTTATTCAGTGATAGCCTATGTCCAGAAATGAGCATAAAAGGGGATCCTCATCATCACTGTAATTGGGGTGTTGTGGCTCAGGGCAGCACTTTGTGAAGCTTCTTTCCATATAAATTTGTGAATAAAAATAAAAAGCAAAAAGAAAATACCCCACACTGCCCAAATTTGGATATTTTGGAGAAAATCGTGTTCTTGATCAAGTAACTACCATGACTCTTGTTTATACACGTTGCCAAATGTTACCTGATTAAGCCAACCCCCAAAACCAGAAAAGCTGATCAGCTTTCAGCTAAAACAGCCCCACAGTATCCTTGTTCATTTGTGACAGTGATGGAGAGAGCTGGTGTGGGTGTTCCTTACCTTGTTGCTGTACATTATGATGGGCTGACATATTACTGCAAAGGGAACTGCACTTGAAGTGGAAACCAGTTCTGATTGCCAGGCTGCTGATGCAAAGGCCGTCATGGGCTGCATGTCACCCACAGCCATTCAGCAACCCCGAGGAGGGAGGTGCTGAGAAACAAGAGGAGGAAAGAGGGATGCAAACCAGATGTTGCTGTGTTGACACCTGCATGCAACAACTCATGTTCTGCAAGGCCCCCCCACAGTGGTGTTGGGTGCTGGGCTTGGCCCTGCTGCTGCCCCTGCAGCTGGGCAGTGTGGGGGCAATGCATGTCAATAACTTCATGTGATAGGAAGAGATCTGCTGCTTCTCCTGCTGTCTAAGCTGCTGTAACCCTCCCTTTCCTTTCCACCCTGCAGGACTTCTCACATATTTCATCTGAGTTTCAAAACAGTGTTGGACCCCGTTCGCCTGGTGCATCAAACCCTCCCGGGAGCACTGAGTGGGACAACGACTACCCCAGCAGAGAGTGTGGGATTAACCACTGCAGGCCAGTACACAGAATGGCACATTGCCCATGCACTTTCTATTATGTGATCTGTGACAGCGTACAACACTGAATCTGCCCTAAAATGTACAAAGTGTACAGCAAGGTGGTAGGCTAATTATGGTCAGTGAAGTTTAAGGTTTCCTCTTCTCTATAGGCTCACTGAAGTGATGCTGTGGAAGCAGGTAGCTTAAAAATCACGGATAAATTCTTCACTGGGCATGAAGAGGTTTCCTTCTGTGTGTGTTTCCATCCTGTGAGCAACAGAGGAGTTGGACAATTTCCTTCTAGTGCAGGACAGGGAAGCCCAGACTTCCAAGCAGAATCACTGGAGGTTTGAAGGTGGCCATGCCCGTCAGTAACATTCCCAGAGTGATTGCTCCTATCACTGAGGCCACAACTTCCCGTAGCTGTATCTAGCCTTTACCAGTTGCTCACGACAGTGCACAAAGCCTCATCCTCCCAAGAGCCACACGATGCTCCAGCCCCCTGCACCTAGCACAAAAAGGCCACAGAATCTGCACAGATCCTCCCCCTTATGCCCTACAAGCTCTGGCATGAATGTGTCAGCACGAAGGTCCCTTCAGTGCTCCTTCAATTCCTCAGTAAACAACAACATCAAGATAGACTCAAAGCTGGGGAACCGGGAGGGTGTGAGAGCCATTCCCAGCCTCTGCCTAATCCACTGCTCTTGGCTCAGCAGTACTGGTTTGGAGACTGCTATTGTGCTGTGTAACACAGGCACGTGGTTTGCTGGGAGAGCAGGTAGGGAAGGAAGCTCAGTAGCTTCTGAGTATTGTTTGATTGCTTGAAGTCCTGGAACATGGTGCTTTCAGTGGAGATAATAGCAAGCTCTCAGCCTTCTCAGAGCACAGCTCCCGCCGGTGCCAGCAGCGCACTCACAATTGCTGGGCTGGGCACAGACTGTACAGACATTTATTTCTTTCAGAGAAATAAATAACTTGCTGAGCCATTAGGATGTCGCTGCCGTCTGCCTGCCCGAGGGGGCTCAGCTACATCTGTGCTCCCGGAGCCTGCCTGAATTTTCTGCAGATGACCCAAAAGAAGGAACCTGTTTGGGCTGCGATGATAAAAGTCACTTTAGATGCTGTGGGCAAGTTGTTAAAGATGTGTGGAAGGTCGTGGCACATGTGCCTGCTCATTGCAAGGGGCTGGACTACATGACCTTTGAAGGTTCCTTCCAACCCAAACTATTCCATGATTCTATTCTATGATCCCAGTTTCCAGAGGTGCTGAGCAGAGGCAGCTCCCACAGAAACTATTCCCACTCAGTAATAAGCATCACTTCTGAAGGGATCAGGTGGGAAAAAAACTTGATTCCCTCTGCAAATCCCACTGCCCAGGCCCCATGCGGAAAACTCAGGGTACTCCAGAGATGGGTGAAACGCTCCTGTAGCAGCCAGGATGGAGGTTTGTGTTGCTAAAACAAGCTCGGTGCCATGTGGCTGGAGTGCTGCATTGTGAGCCGAGGGCCCATGCAATTCATGATCAAAGCTCATGCATTTCATGCCTTTGTCACAGCAGAAATATTGAATTTCATGGGTTTATCGCAGCTTCCTGGAAAAAAAAATCATTCTAAACCCAGACAGATTATGCAGAGACTTCCAGATAATTATTAAAGTAGATTATAGCAATGAACTCAGATGGATATAGATCAGTACTGCAGGGAGTGCTTAGCACACCAAAACCTGTCATTGTCTCTGTTAAGGAAGGAGCCATCTCCTGTGATGAGAGACAGGGGAGCTGCTGGCAGCCCAGCTCCCAAAACTGCCTTGTTCTCATTGTATTGCAAAGCCTGGTGCGCCAGCAGTGCCACCATCTCCTGCTCCTGCTGTCCTGGTGTTTGCTGCCCAAGTGCTTGCTTATAGCATCCACACACCTCTGTAGGACTGCAGCCCTGGGGTGCCTCAAGGTTAGACTCATGTCAGGAAAAGAGATCATCAAATCCCAGCCTGGTTTGTGCTGGAAGGGACCTTAAAGCTCATCCAGTTCCAACCCCTGCCACGGGCAGGGACCCCTTCCACTAGAGCAGCTTGCTCCAAGCCCCTGTGTCCAACCTGGCCTTGAACACTGCCAGGGATGGGGCAGCCACAGCTTCTCTGGGCACCCTGTGCCAGCGCCTCAGCACCCTCACAGGGAAGAGCTTCTGCCTAAGAGCTCATCTCAGTCTCCCCTCTGGCAGGTTAATGCCATCAGATGATCTGGTTCTCACCATCTTCCTGGCTGCTTTCTCCCATGTACTGTGCACTGATTTCCATGTTCCCCTTGAGCTCCTCAGCAGCACCATGCTGTGAGCCAGGCAATGCAGGGTGAGCTGTGTGCCCGAACAGCCCCAGCAATCAGCAGTACTTAGGCAAAGCAGTGGTAAAGGGAAGGGAGATCTTGTTGGGTTTGATTCATCAGTGCAGTTTGAGGTATAATCGGGAAGTCTCTGGATCATGTAATTGCCCATTTCAACCTCAAAACTGCATTCAGCTTAATTGCAATTAAAGCAGCTCTCTGAGGAGCAGAATCAGCAACTGTCTGCAAAGAAAAAGGGTTATTTTCTGTTGTGATGTGGCTCAGCTGTAGAGTCCCTGTGCGGGAGGATCATACCAACCTCCCCAGCACACAGTCCTGCCTTGTTCTCTGGGTTAGGGTTTTTGTTTCACGTCTCACCTTGATACTTCTTTAGCTTCCAACACGTGTCGGCACTGGGTTACGTGGGGTAAAACCTCCCAGTCCCACATTTTCTCTGGTGTTTGCCATCCAGACAACTGAAAAGCTGGGGTTGTCTTTCTTGCCATCCTTCTCTCCATCTAATAAGGGAACTGCTGTAGGGATTTTTCTCTCAACCTATCAGTGCTAGTTAAAATGCCATTAAATGACACTTCTTCCATTACGCCTCTGAAATCCTAGGATCCTGCAAGCAGGCATGCCTTGACTCATGAATCAGCCATGTTAGAGAGTTTTAAATGTTTTTAAGCTCATGCTCTCTCCATTCTTAATGATTTTGTGCTTATTGACTTCCATCCAATTTTCCTAGCTCTTTCTGGGCTTAAGCCCAAGATGTCCTAGGTTGCTAGCAAAGACCTGGGCAACATTTCTCAGCTCCTGCTTAGTATGTGACTACCACTTCCCACAAGCAACTGCAGCATAGAGCCTTATTGCTTTTTGCATCATATCACAAACTGCTTCTGTAGTTCCTTGTCTCCCTCACCTGACAGCCTTGTTCTCACACTTGCTCTTTCCCAGGCACCTGCTGAATCCCAGTGACTTCCTCCCTGGGAACCCACCTGCATCGAGGGTGCAGCTTGGTTTACAGTCACTTGCAAATCTTTCTTAATTCCTCAAGGCACCTCGTTTGTTTTTTCTGCCCTGTTTTGTGATTACAGCTCTTTCCATACCAGACTTCGGGGTTTCATTTAGATTTGTCTCCTAGCATTGAAGCATTTTGGTGATAACACTAAACTGGATTCATCTATGTCCTTCCTCTCTTTTGCAAGGCGTCATTTCTTTTCCCACTCTCCTTTGGGCTAAAAGATGGGAAAGCATCAGTTACGTCTTGTCCAGACAAACAAGACCATGCACAGCCCCTTCAGCCAGACATTTATAACCTTGCTAATTCCTGCTGACAATGAAGTGATCCTCTCCAAATGGGGGCATTTTCCAAATCAGAATCCAAACAAGCAAACACTGTAGAAAGGCAAGGATAAACCATCACCAATGCACTTCGTTTCGATTCAATTATTTATGGTAAGACGTTGTAATGAACTGGGATATGTTCTGTAGCGTAATTTGTAAAATTAATGAAGTTTTAGGGCTGGAATTCCTCACTGCTGCTCAGTAGCATTGAATCTTTGCTGAGTGCAGTATGGGAGACTCTGCATTTTAAATGCAGATTATAAAATGTGGAGATTAGCAAAGTGCAGACTCTTCTGCTCTCTATTAGAAGACAGCTCTATCAACAGCAGCATTACGTTCCTGCCTGCTATTCCCCTATTATTCCACCCATAAGCACACCCACACAGGAATCTCCCAAAGCTTTGTGATGTTCTTCACCACTTTCTAAGACCCAGATGTTTATGGAGCCAATGATGTTTCCATCAGGTCTGTGTAGATGATAAAACCTGTTAAAATCGCTGGATTTCAGAGCAAAACCTATATAGGATATCAGACAGGGGGGAGGAACTTCTCTCTTCCACTACTCTCCCTACTATATCCTGAATAAAAGAGCATCCGGGCTCCCCTGTGGGACCCTGCTGACAGTAAGTTAAACATGCCAGCTAGCCCCCATGGAGGGCTGAAGCATGGGGTACTATAGGCAGGAAGGGAGAGGTGATACCTCTCTGTAAAGCCAAGGGATGTCTTAGTGCTGTAAGCTGGCTTCCCTGTCAGCACACACCTAGAGCTCTTCAAATCAAAGTCGTTGCTTCAAAAACATGATCAAGTCAAGATCTGGAGGGCCAGGGATATGCAGAGCAAACAGCCTGGCTGCTGTCTCACCAGCCCTCCTCTGTGGCTTCGTGCGAGTAAGGCAGCACCGAGCCTTGCTTGGGTTCCTTGCACCTCTTGCTGTCTTCATCAGGCCCATAGGAAAGACCAGCTACTCCTCCTGTCTCAAAGGTATTTCTTCCCCTTACTTCCTGTTATTAACCTTCCTATTTTGGAAGAGGAGGAGAGAGACATTGAGCAGATGGTGTCTCCTATTGCCATGCTCTTCAGGCATGAAACTCATGTTTCATCTGCCTGGACATCCACAAGCGTTTTCAGGCATAAGGCTCTCAGTTGTATGTTTGAGACCCCCTACACTTTTATCCAAAAGCAAGAATCTGTTTTCAAAATCTCCATGGCTTACAATAAGGACAGCGTGTGATTAAGAAAGGGGCTGGTGGCCAAGGGGCTGATTTCAGGCACAGCGCTCCACAGCATGATGGTGGAGATGGTACCAGCCTCACATCAGTGTGCTCTGTAGGGAAATCCAGGCTTGGCCCTCCCCTGCAGCCCCAGCAAGAGCAAAAATTAAACTACAGGAAGGAATTTATGTCTTAGCCCTTATTGTTGAAATTCAGGAAGAAATAAAACTGCTCCAGGCTCATATTCCTGCCTTTGGACAAGGGCCTGTAGGGACAGGCCAAGGGGAATGGCTTGAACCTGCCAGAGGGGAGACTGAGATGAGCTCTGAGGCAGAAGCTCTTCCCTGTGAGGGTGCTGAGGCGCTGGCCCAGGGTGCCCAGAGAAGCTGTGGCTGCCCCATCCCTGGCAGTGTTCAAGGGCAGGTTGGACACAGGGGCTTGGAGCAAGCTGCTCTAGTGGAAGGTGTCCGTGCCTGTAGCAGGGGGTTGGAACTGGAGGAGCTTTAAGGTCCCTTCAACACAAACCAGGCTGGGATTCTATGATTCAAGTGCCTTCTGCTTGGTCCATCTCTGCACACCCTCCCCTTGGTGCAGACCGCTTTGTGTATGGAATCATGGAGTGCCACAAAACACCAATCTCAGCTTCCCCGGTGACTTCCCAGCTGTTTCCCTGCACATCTCACCTTTTCCCTCCGGTTTCTCTTACAGCATGCTGCCAAGGGACAAGGCACTCTACCTCACCTAAAACTCAACATCCCTTTCGAGGCAGCTCAGACGAAGGACACTTGAGAGGGTCTATCCTACAGACTACCCGGAGTGGCATCGAGCAAGTCGTACGGACCAGAGCGCTCCCACTGCACCTCGGCGCTGGCTTCATTCCCAGGCTCTAAGAGCAGTTTTCTTCTCTTTCTTACTTTTGAACTCTAAACTCGACTTTCTGTGGAAACCCAAAACCTCATAAATCATGGAGAACAAAAAAGAAAAAATAGTAAAAAAAAATAAAAATAAATAGACATAAAACCAACAAAAAAAATAAGCTAAGGACACCCTTTTTCTGCTTGCCATCAGCTTAGCTACAGACTATTTTCCTAGTGAACTGCTTTTAGACGCAGCATAGGCCCAGGTCTGGTGTCCTGCAGCATTAGGCCAGCTCAGTAGGAGGATGCACTCTTTTGACTTGCTAACAGCACTAAACTTTGTGCAAGAAAATGTGAAGTTTGTGTGAATATTGTACATGCAAAGGCCTTGGATGTCTGGCAAAAAAAAATACAAAAATCAAATAAAAACTATCGCTAGGTAGGTGGGGGAGAGAGGAGAAGGCAAAATAAGAGAGAGATGTGAAAAAGATCATGAAAATATAATTTGTTGGATAGTTGTAAGTAGTTTACTAAGTGTTTTAGAGCTGTGCTAAAGACATCTTTAAGATTTTTTTGTGAAAAGAATTAGTAGTTTCCTTTCTAGTAAAAGCATTTTATATTAATTGTAGCACATTTTTTTAGTTATACATAGAAGGGAGATGTGTATAAAAGAAAAAAACAACAAAAAAAAAAAAGCCTGCCAAACTTGTTTCTATTATTTGTACAGCAAGAAATGGACAATTTATATCCATGTCGTATGGCATTATTCTATTTTTTCTGCCATCTGTCCATCTATTTAAAAATTGCTGACAATGATTTTTGTCTATTTATGAAGGATTAGAGCATAATCACGGTTTCTCATCAGGTGCATTTTGGGGTTGTTTTTTTTACTTTTTATTTCGTTGGATGGTGCTGCTTTCGCAGCGCTGGCACACTCGGTTCACAACGCTTCTCTTACCTTTCTTTATAATAAAACGTATGAAAAGTAGAACTGAACCAGTCTCTCCTTATTCTGGAAATGTCCCTGCCATGTCCTTGCCCTCCTCAGCTTCCCCATCCCTCACTCCTTTGCCATCACATTCCCACTTGCTTTCTCTTTCTCCCCCCTTGCTCTGGGCCAATATTACTTAACAAAATATTCTGGGCAACATGGTCTAGTTGAAGATGTCCCTGCTCATTGCAAGGGTTGGACTAGCTGAGCTTTGAGCCTTTCACCCCAAACCATTCTATGGTTCTATGACTGTGTGATCTGTGACCACCCCCAGCATTGAAAGCTGTCACCGAGCGAGGGCAGACAGACAAGCTTTTTTCCTTCTTTTTGTTGCAAAAAAATGCCAGCTTTGCACTCAGCAGCGGGTACTTTCCTTTCTTAAGCCATAACTTGGTGCCTTCCGCATTTACTGACTGATGTGGTTGAACCCCAGCTGGCCACTATTTACCAGGCAGTTGCTGCTAAGAGCAGTTCAATAATTGAAATAAATTAAAATATTATGGCAATAAGAATCATAGAATCATAGAATAGTTAGGGTTGGAAAGGACCTTAAGATCATCCAGTTCCACCCCCAGGGATGCTTCACCCATGACCATGTTGCTCAAGGCTCTGTCCAATCCCAGCCTTGAGCACTGACAGGGATGGAGCATTTGCCACTTCTTTGGGCAAACTGTTCCCGTGCCTCACCACCCTCACAGTGAAGAAGTTCTTCCTTATAATAATGATAATAACAATAATAATGTAATTGTAATGAAAAGGGAGGCAACAAAAAGAGAGGAATAAAAGCCAATAGCCACAAGTGCTGCACAATGCAATTGCTCACCGCACACTGAGCAACGGCCAGCCTGTCCCTGAGCAGTGATCAGGGGCTACCAACCAACCCCCCCTAGTCTCTGTACTGGGCATGATGTGCTGTGGTATAGAATACCCCTATGGCTAGTTTGGGTCAGGGGGCCTGTCTCTGCTTCCTCCCAGCTTCTTGTGCCCCTCTTCACGGCAGAGCATGAGACTGCATTGATCAGAGTAAGTACTACTGAGCAACTGCTAAAAACATTGGTGGGTTACCAGCATTACTCAGGCTGAATTCAAATCACAGCACTGCACCGGCTACTGGGAAGAGAATTAACTCTTTCCCAGCCAAAAGCAGGACACTTACAAAGCTATCCCATGCCCCAGCCCTATCAACTCTCTGCCCTTTGGCAAACCCTTGAGCAAACAGAAAATACCCTTGCAGAGATAAGGGTCACCAAGCTACCTGGTGCGTGCTGACAGATGCCCACAAGAGCCCCATTTCCCACTTTTCCTAGGAAGCACGGACGAGGAAGACATGAAAAGGATAGAAAATTCAAATGGCATAAGGAAGGAACTGACATTTCCATCCTTCCACAGCACGTATGGAAAACGCAAATGGCATAAAAAATTACCCGATGTGAAATCTCACACTGTGGGCTAACCGCCAGGAGGAAACCTGTTCATTAATGTACCATTTGAAGCCCATTTGTAGATGCAGCTTGTCCGTAGGAGTCTCACCACATCGTGCCACTCGCACACAAGTTACTGTCATTTAGATACGGACCAATTTCTTCCAGTCTGCATTTAAATGGAAACATGGAGCTGGATCATGACTGTTTCTCATGCGATTTGAGGCACTGGGTCTGGTTTAGGTCCGTATGCCACAGCTAGGATCCTATTTTTCTGCACTGTTACCCACCTATGATGAAAGTGGCCTTAACATTTATGTTTTGCAGTGACTTGAAATAACTCTTTAAGCCTTCAGACCATTGCAGTAAACCAGGAAGAGCTCCTTCAGACTTAAGGGTTTTTTTGATGAGGAGAATGGTCATTTTCACCTCTTTATGGTCTTAACATGTGCTACAAAAGCTTGCTGTCATGCCCTGTGCCTATTGCAGTAAGTTCCCATTAGAACACCAAGCCAGGGCAAGGAATGTGCAGCAGGAGCTGTCCTGCTGTGTCATCTGGTTGATACTTGCTGCAGCATCATCCCACACGTCCTGCGGGCACATCAAACAAAGCGCACCCCAAAATCCCACCCAGCAGCTGTCTGCTTTGGATGGGGCAATGAGGGAGAGCTTTGGAGATGGAGGGGTATTTTGGGGCATCGTGGGTTTGGACCAAGCAGTCCTCAGAGAACCACCCTTGATGCTGGGAGAGGTGGCGATAACGGCACCATGGCAAAGGATGCAGAAATCCAGCAGGTCGCAAGCTCCTTCTGCAATCAGCCTGACGTAAAATCCATGTTCTCTGTTTCTGGGGCCATCAGAGGGTTATTGCGAGGTGATTGAGTGGCAGGCCTCTCTGCTGACACCATTCGCTTTCTCGGCATGAGAGGGAGACATGAAATCAAGATGCAGCTCTGTGAACCAACTTTCATTACAGCAGTTAGTTACCTTTTAACCCCAAGCTTCCTGCTCTCTGCAAGTATAAACAGAACAAGCGCCTGTTCCTGGTCCCATTGACCATGGTGGCTCTGTTATAAGCACAATGTCCAGCTGTGGAGATGGGCAAGTGAGAAATGCTGCTGGGTAAGGTGTAAATGTGGTACTCTTCCTCACTGGTGCTCAGCTTAAGGCCATGAAAATCCCCGTTTATCTTTGTAATCTTGAGCCATGTGAAAATACAACATGGAGCATAATAAAACTTCCTAAGGAGCAGCATGAGCAATGACACAGCAGCACAGTGGGGCTGGCTTGTGGTGAGCAGATAATTACTCTGCAATATCAGAGCCAGGAGGTTTCTTCTAAATACTCAATTATTAAAATAGGGGGGAAAATAGGACATTAAGATGAAAACCTACCTTGAGTTATCACAGCAAGGAGACAGGGCTTACTCCAGGGAGAGTTTCGGAAATGTTAATTTACTTTTGTGTATGTTGCAGGTAAGTGTCCTTGAGACTCTGAACTCATGGGGATGAATGAGGTTTCCAGCCCTGGGAGGAGCTCTGGAAGTGTTGCATTACTCCAAGCCCCTGTGCTTTATCTTCTCTGAAGGAAGGTGCCCATCCACAATGCCCAACAGCATCATCTCTGTGTCACTATCACAGTGGTTTTGAAGCTGTTTAAAAGCCTCCACTGAGAAGATCTCCTCTGTTGGTAGGGCCACAGGGCCACAGGGCAGGGAGCCATTGAAAGGTGACCTGGCCAATTCAGGATTAACTGTGCAAAGCAATAACCACACTTGCTGTGGAGCAGCCATACGGAGCACAGCAACCTATCTCCAGCCACATCCATGCAGGAGCCATCCCAGGGATGCAGGGCAGTTGGCTATTATAGAGCCCAGGGCATTAATAACAAACTGTGAGACTTTCCAGGCCACTTTAATCCCTACTAATCTCTAAATTTGCATGATAGCAGATGTGCTTAAATGGTATTCCAGCTGTTGGCTAATTGCTGTGGGCCTGGAATTTCTCTAGGGAAGCCACTGGGAGCCAAGCCTCCCATCCACCATCACAGCAGGTTCACAAAATACATCCAATTTCCACTAATGGGCTCAGCCCCAGTAAGGGTGAGCAGCCAGGGGCAATGGGCCAGTGACAGCACGGGTGGGTGAGGCTCTCCTTGGTCTGAACCTGGGCTGTTATTAACATCAGTAGAAAGCATGGTAGCTGGGTCTCAGGAAGCCCCCAAGAGGGTCAGCTCATCCTAAACCCTGCCTGTGCGATCACCTCCCTTTAAAACCCTTTAAATTCCAGGCAGATTACCTAAATTTCTCTCCCTACAAAGCAAATCCCTTGCTTTTGAACACAGGGAAGAGGTCATTGCTTCCCTTGTTGCGGTAACGTTTTCCATATTTGAAGAGGATTTGGGCTTCCCCTTCACCTACCCAAGCAGCTGCAATTGCAGAGGCTGTGTTCCCAGGCTGAGATGCTCCCACTGTTAACCAATGAGCACCAGCTAGATCCTCAAAATGCTCCAAAAGAGCTTTGAGACAGGGGCTGGCAAGGCCCAGGCAGAGCTTGGGGTAATGACGGAGAGGGAATCAATAGGCACAGGCAGAGAGAGACTCAGATAATTAACTTTGGTTTATGAAGACATGTTTAGCAGCACTATAGGATGTAATGGGGACTTTAACAGATCTCATCAGAGGGATCTCGGAGGTGTTAACCCTTCAAGAGCAGGGATCCAGCCCTCTGGACTAGC